TTATGCAGACTCCGTTTTGCACTATCTTCCAATTTCTTGCCTTTACTGTGTTGCAGTGTTGCATTTCAAATAACTTATTTTATCAAAAATGAGAGTGCTCATAAATGACACACTAAAACAAAAGCCCAATCTCCATAATAATGGCCATAATTGTGTGGACCATATCTTTATAATAAAAATAGTGAAACTAAGATATGAAAATTAGGCTGTAGAAAAATAAAAATTCTTGAAGTGTTAAAATTAGCAAGGTCTTTTACTTAGTGTTTGCATTTCATCCGTAAAGATAAAATAAAACGTATCATTATTGTTATTTTTACTGTTGAACACTGGCTTGAATCACTTCATACCGAAATGAAATCGGTAGGAAGCCCAAAGTAGTCTCAGGTGACTGTCATATATGAAGGTGTCTTAAGGTCTAAATTCGCAAACACAAGGTCAGCACCTGTGCTGTCTTTACCACCATTTCACGACCAGGTACTTCATAGTGTACAAAAGTAATTGCACAAAGTGCCGTTTTACAATTGTGGATATTTCTGGGTTTGATACAGGATGGTATAAGATGACAAAGCTCGCAACAGCCAGTCCCCGGGCAGCTCGTCACAGGGATGGACACTGAACCGAGGGCCTTGTCAAGCCAGCTCGAGCAGTTTGCTCACATTCATCAAAGTGAGGACCTATCATCGTTCGAGGTTTTGTTTTCTGACTCACTGAGCCACTGCTGGCTGCATGAAACAAAAGTGAATTCTTTTCACTTCTTTTTCATGTCTGCTCTCTACACACAGCCTACTGATTGATTGAATAACCTTCACTCTGAGCCTCAGATGTGTTCCAGCACAAGCAGGGCCTCAGCCACTGTGCGCCGGGTTGGGAGCTTGTGTTAAAAATGAAGGAACTTGAGGATCGCACAGCAAGCTGGGCCTCTTGGTCACTACTCCACCTTTTGTAGACAATGCAACATTTAGTATAACCGAGTACAGTGGGTTTCTTTTTTTAACGTGTTGAGTAATGATGTTGTATTATGAAGTAAAACTTGGTTATTTTTCCTCAAATAGTATAATGCGTACATTCTTTAATCAGTCTCAGAATACATTAATACTCATTTAAAACAATTGTAATACCGAGGAAGATAATGAAAGTCGTAACAATAATTATTACATTAATAAAAAGAGCATTTGCATTATACCATCGGTGGAGCGCTGAAGTCCAGTGTGGCACTTTATGCAAGACCAGGGGTGATATTATGGTTCCATCCCAGGCTTGCACAATTTGTCCTTTTGAAAGTGCTCCCTCAATTCGGTTGGTAGAGCAGTTTCTCCCTTCTCCATCTCCACCTGATCCTCCATGTAATGGGATGGCTGAGGCAGAACAGCTGCCATATGTCTCCCAGATGGGGATTGCACTGTGGTGGGTGAAGTCAGGCTCCTCATGTGTAAAGTGCTTTGGGATCTTTTGGGATAAAAAAAGCACAATGTAAGTATGTGCTTTAAAATTACCACTTCCCTGCAGCCACGATGGTATTTGTTTTTCAAGTTTGTACAGAAATTAAAAGAAAAGATTTCCTGTGCGGCTCATTTGTCTGTTTTTTCAGGTTTTCAAACAGATTAGCTATGATATGTTCCGATTATTGTGAATTTCCTGTTCTCAAGAGTGAGTACAGTAATCTGGTGCACCATTCACTGTTTTACTCCAGTTGTCTTAGAGAAACTATTTTGGTAAAAACATGTCTAAGCCTCTTACTGCTCTTGTATTTTAAATAGATAATATGAAAAAATGATTCTTTAAGCTTTACAGGGTTGACTTGAATTGTTCAGTAATTAAAAAATGAGCTTATAGCCCTTGTATGCTTCACAAGCCAAGCGTAAGAGCAGAGAAAAGAGCTTATAAAATGGAGCGTTATTTCACAGTTAACACTGTTGTAATAGTCAAGCTAACCAGCAGAGTGAAAAAAAGCATTGCAATTCCCATAGGTAATGTATTCATAATGTATTCAAATGTAGGGCATGACAGAAAATGGTTTCCAAATGAATGAACTTTTCAGGAGGAGCCCAGGCCACTTATATCCTCTTTAAAATCTCAGAGGTCTTGCACGAATGTTCTGGCAAACAGTCACTTTAAATCAAAATATAACAATTAAACATTTTCTGGTACACTAAGCTCCTCAGGTATGTTAGAAGTCTTTGAGTGCCTGGCTGGGTCTTGTCAAGTATGGCGTTAATAGTTATGCTGAAGTTCATTACTAAATAATCCACCAGAGAAATAGCAATAAGAGTAAAGTACCTCAGCAGTCTCAACACTTTTACAGTCACACTTTTACAATTGCCTTCCTATAGTGCTAGCACACTCGTCGTTTAAGCAGCCCTGCTACTTGTATCATTCAATAGCAAGAGCCTCATACCAGCACACCTAAATGTTTGAAACTATGAAATCTGTCTCATTCTGTTGGACAGTTGTAATTAGCAGCCAGGTGTGCATTTCTACATGAATAAGAGTAAAGTAGTACTTAAAGTATTTGTAAGACCTAAAAATCCATGAGACTGGACTTTGTGAATGGCTGATTGGTTACTGACTCACCATAACATCCTGAGGGTGTGTCTCATCATCACCTTTTGAGTGTCTAGATAATATGCAGAAAAAGACCTGAGTGTTGCACAAACAGTTTCTGAGGATTTTGTGAGGATTTGGTGCAGAGAAATTTAATAAATACCTAAATGTGCATAAAACCAAGTCCACCTTAACAACCACTGTGCTCTTCTTTCATACAAGACCCTGTCAGCCAGGCTGAATCAAGAATAAGCAAATCTGGGAATGTTAAATTCACAGGCATAGATGTAGAGACCATACTGCATTCTCACTGCTTAGTGGAGGTCTTTTGTTTTAGACACAGCAGAAGATGGGGTTGGTACGCCAGTCTATTGAGGTATTGATGAGTAAAGGTCCTGCACACAAGACTCCACTTCATTTTCAACGTGAACACGAGGAAGAGAGATTAAATTAAATTAAGGCCATTTTCTGAAGTACACCTTTATTTTCAATTGTATTGTGGTCTATCCATCAGACTAGTCCTTCTGTATGTTGAAGCCTTTCTCCCTCTCTGCCTGAAGGGCTGCTGCACGTAATGACTGCCACACAGCACACAGGTGGGAGCTGCGCTTCAGTCATGTGTGAAGTGAGCCCCTCGTATTTGTTAAAGCGCTTTAGGATGATGCTAATAATAATCGTTTTTTTATTATTGTTGCTATGATGAGATTTGTACTGCAGATGGTGAATTTCAAAAGAGGATAAAGTAAAGGACCTTAATATCACGGTGGGAGACAAGCTCTGGGCGCTTTGTTTTTCCTCTTTACTAGGACAGGAAGAGACATTTGTTTTGTGTAAAGGATAGGGTTGACAGCATGCTAGGAGACTAAAATGACCATGTTTACTTAACAACCGGCAATGACCATGTACAGTAACTAGAAATTAAACTTTGAATTCTTCTGGATGTGCAGTGAAGGATTTGTTGTTGAAGTACGCTTGTTACAATCCCATTTATTATTCTGTGATCGCTTCTGTGGTGTCAGCCCAGCACCATACGAAGGTGACTGATGGTAGCGATGTATGCAATTCTGCCCCACTAGTTGGGGTGTCAATTTCAGAATGTATCAGAGGTCAGCAAATGTTGCACCCAGAGACCTGTAGTACCCGTTGATCACTTAACATCACACAAAAAAGTCAGCAATTTTATTTTGCTTTGCTTAACAATATGTCCTTTGATACCCTGTCTCCTCTGTTCTGTCCTGGGAGTTTCTTGTATCTTTTTTTTTTAAAGTCCTTTCAGAATGTCAGAATCATTCTCTGTATGTGTCTGTCACAAGATACAGGATGATTTTGTCATTTTCTTTTTTGGAATATTTGTTTTTAGTGAAAAAGAATAGAAGCTGTTAAAGCACAGGATCACTTCAAAATAGACATCTCACAATCACACACTGGAGATTACAGTATACATTCATAATTTATCTCAGAAACCAATAGGTAGTGGACAAAAAAATGGAAACCACAATAAAAAATAATTAAAAAGGGTATTGAGACACAATGTGTAGCCATAAATGTTTAACTGGGCTTAGATCTGATGATTAAGAAGGCTGTGACGTTTGGTTAACATCAGTGTTGGTTTACGGAAATGGGCCCACCGAAAGACCCCTTAGTTCAATTAGTGAAGTGGTTTCTCTCTTTTGTATCTTATCTGTTATGTATTTTTGCTGGTTGTGCATGACGGCTGCTGGACACCTCCAGGTAGATGCTACATTTCAGTGGAACCCCTCATATAAGCAATGTTCCTAGGGATGAAAAGCTCTATATAAACACAAGACATTGTTGCAATTGCTGTTATTATTTTATTGTTATTATGATTAACAGATTTTAGCGGTACAGCAGTGTTAGCACACTGAATAGTTCTTTGGAAAACAATTTGGATCGGCAAAAGAAACGACCATAATTCATATTAAATACAATGAGTGGATATGTAAAAATATTTTGTAAAATAATAAATGCATTTCTTAAGATACAAATTGCATAGTAACTTGCTATGGTACGTCAGTTGAGACTAAAATGAAAACATGTATATATATAAATGATAGATGTGCTTTATTATACCTTTGTTTAGTTGTTGTTACACAACTTTATAAAACCATTTTTAAAATGTTTTGTCATCTTGAGAATATACTGTATACTGTCTGTTCCACCTATTTAACTTATTGTTATTCATAACTCACAAATTCTGGTTCTTACACTGACTGTGATAATGCTATCTTACGCTGTTTGCACTTTAATTTAAATTTCTATTAGGGTTTCTAAACATTTACCAGCTACCATCTGAATATTCATTAGCACCCAAAAAAGAAAGAGAAGTGATTTTTTTAGCCGTATTGAAAGACGCCTGGCATGGGGCTGATTGGCTTGGCGTTTGATTGCGGATGTGAAGTGGGTTTGCCCTGTGCTTATTGACATGTCTTCTTCAACAGCTCCCTCCCAAGTAAGTGAAGTTATCAAGGACAGAGTGCTGCAGCGAAGTGTCCAGATCTCCTGGCAGGAGCCGGAACATCCCAACGGAGTCATCACGGAATATGAAATCAAGTATTATGAGAAAGTGAGTGTTGGGAACCTATGAATCTATTAATGAGAGGTCTTTTAAATGAGCTAGTCTGTGGCAGAGCAGCCTTTCTTTCCCTCCTGCCTGCCGTCAGGTAAACGTGACATTGTTGTGGCATTAAATATGAAAGTAAAACGCTATAGGATATGAGGCTTCAGCTGAGCGAATTCACAGCAGTGTTTATTTATGAGGAAAGTTACAAGATTGAAGCTTTTTTAGCACGTAACTCCATATACTTGGAAATAATTTATAGTTTACTTCTTCTGAAATGAGGTGTTAACTTCTGTGTGCACACCAAGGTCTGCCAGCAGTGCCCCAAAAAACTTGTAATAAATAAAACTTACAAATTTTATAAACGGATTGTGACACTTTTTTGATGAGTTTTTTTTTCTTTTTGTCATGCACTGACAAGGAAAACTAATTTCAGAGATAAGCAGGAGAAAATGAGAGCACATCAGAGGCTACGTTTTCCTTTTATAAAAGTAAAACAGCAGTACGCTATGGGAATCTTCAGAACAAATCACAGACGTATAATTCCTGTCAAGATTAACAGTTCTCTTAAAATCTTCTCATATATGCTCTGTATATACTGTAGCGTATGACAGAACTAGTGTCTTACCCAAGGCGTATATAAAGATCACGTTCTGGCAAAAAGGTGTGAGTGTGGTTTAACAGTTCAAATCGTGAACTGGGATGTGAGGTTCCAGTTTATGATCCTTGCTCATTTGTGGCCTGTGAAACTCTCTGGAGAGAGGCCTCTCATCTCCCATCGCTGTAGTCCATCCAGCTGTAAAATTGGGAACAAGCATGACTTCACTGCAAACAAGATCTGGCATTCCATTTGGGTTTTGCAGGGTAAATAATTTACAAATCAACAAGATAAAAAGAAATACCGCACTACTTCATGCGGGCAAAGGACCTTGTAGTTACACATAGTAGTTGCATATTCCTTTTTTTCCCGCCTTTTTGATTCTAGCATACTCTGCTTTCTTTTTTGACAACTCTATTTAAGATAACATGATGGGAGGGCTGTGTGAAATAGAAACATCTGTGTAATATAGTTTCATTTGAAGTTGGATATTCTTTTATTGCATCTTAAATTTAAAAGACTCACTTAATGTAGTGTAAATGCTGCCTTATGGCCACAACATGAAAACTAATTAGGCATCACAATGACATTTATCTATTTTGTTTTGTGGTGAAGGATCAAAAGGATCGAACTTACCAAACTGTGAAAACAAAGTCTACTTCAGCCACTGTCAATAACCTCAAACCAAGCACAGCCTACGTTTTTCAAGTCCGAGCCTTTACAGCTGCTGGCTATGGTACATATGGTCCCAGGCTAGAGATCACCACCCAGGATGAAGCAACGGGTAAGATGTTTAAGAACTTCATTGCATTTATCTAGTTGTATTTTCTTCTGTGTCATAATGTTGAAAATTACTTATTGTGTGAATGCTCTGTGTAACTTAATGTCACACATTTTACTGACATTTAACTAAAATCAACAGCAGGACATTACAGCGGGAGCAACCCACACTACAGACCTCATTCTCACCCATTTTTGTTTTTCTGCTAACAAAAATGATGGCATTGTCTCTTGAAATGAAGCCACTGAACTTAGTCACGGTCAGTTACTGTATGTCCCATGCTGAGCTACTAAACCAATCTCACTTAAACTGCCCTTTTTTAAAAGCATAAAAGATCCATTTAGTACATTTAAACATAAAGGCATTTATATATAATATATATGCTGTTATTTGCTATATAAAATTTATATTTTAGAAGTCAATGGCAAATTCCATGGATATGAATTTTATTGCATCTGGATTGAATGATCTAATGTATTGTCAAAGAGTTTTTTTTTATTGCAAGTGTTTTGTTACACAGTTGTCATGACTAAAAAATGTCACCAACGTGTTTGGTGCTAATATCAATTTCCAGTATGAATAAATGAAAAATGTCAAGTTCGAAATGAAACCAGCACCTTTTAGTCATGTAAATATGACAGTTTGTAATCTACAGCTTGCATTAAAACTTTTAAAAGTTCTCTCAACCAGCTATTGCAGTGAAGTAGTGCACAATAGGGTGTTAGTATAGAGGCATACGATTGTCTTTAAATGAATCTCAAAAACAGATATTACCAAACAAACTATATTTTATTTGTAAGATGCATTAAATACACAGCATTACTTTTGTATTTGCCTGAACATTAACTGACATATCCCGATGATGCTGGTTACACAGTAGGGCAGATATGGGAGGGGTAATTAGTGGTCATCTATGGTTTTGTAGTAATTATGGGAATTGCTGTCGTATCGTGATATTAAGAAAAAATCAACCAAACTGAACTTTCTCTTTATTTTGATATCTCACTCAAAACAATAGAGAGTATTTGAAAATAAAAGTGTGCCCAAAATCTTACAGGCTGCCACCATTTTCTTTTTCCCAAACCTTGCCCTAACCTGAGCACTGGTAAAACAGCCAATGTTTATGTAAAGGACATACACTGAAAAAGCAGCATCATTGTGGCTTTGTGCTAGAAGGAAAAATTGGCTGCACAGATGTGAATTACCAGGTATTTGCATCACAAATATCTTTGGATTCACAGTGTTTGAAAAGGGAGAGTTATGTGAAAAAGCAACCCAATTTTCAATAATCAAAAGTAAACACAAGACAGGTGTGCAATTGAGAAATGCATATATAAAGTATAACATAAACAGGCAAAGTTGTGCACATTTTATAAGCAGGTGTGTAATGTGGGTTAATTTGATGTTGCTTGAATAATATAAAGTCCTTGCTTTACGATCTTTTATACGATAGCTTGGTTACCTCGTTGCTGTGATTTTTATGGGGGGGTAATTTTGAAAAAGCCTGTAATGAAAAGATCAATGAACTCAGAAAAAGAAAAATATCAAAGAAAAAAACGTTTTCTCAAATAAAGAGCAAACCTGAGTGAATAATCTGAAGTGAAACCACTCTTTATGTTTCTAGTTAATCAAATTACACTTTAGATAGAACAAACAACTATATAGCTGTAGCTGTAGCCAAAATGTTAGTAAATGTACTAACTTAATGTACAATTAAGCAACAAAACAATTAAGCAACAAAACTTGTGTAGAGATGCAATCCTGTTGCAGTCCAGCATGTAGTATCTTTTATTAAAGGCCTGCTCTTTTTGAAAAAGAGCTTCTATTCATTTATAGAAGAAAGACAAATACAAATTTTTGCAGGAGACGCGCGCAGTAGACTTCATCTATATGCAATTTTTTGTTTTGATTGATTGGGTGGGGAGATCTTCTAACCTTTCCTGAGCTGAAAATAATTGTTTCTTGTAATGTGCTGCTCTTCCAGCCACAGCTGTCTCCAGTGAACAGAACCCAGTCATTATCATAGCTGTAGTCGCAGTGGCAGGAACCATCATCCTTGTCTTCATGGTTTTTGGATTCATTATTGGAAGAAGGTATGGCCTCTCTTGACCTTCTACTGCTGTGGTTTGGTGTTTGTGAATTAGACTGTGGATCTGCAGTGTCTTTAAATCATAACACGTCGCATCTTCGCTCACATTGTGTAAGTGTTTGATGTGATGGGTTACAATGCAATTTCTTATACTGAAACACCGGCATTATTTTGGCGTATAATTTTGAATAGGGGTTATATACAAAGAGAAATACACAGATGCATCCTTTCAATTTTATAACATATCTGAATATTCTCAGGCAAAAACAAATCCATGTATTTAATCTCTAGGTAGAAGGATGTGTAGCAAGTCCTCTGAACATTTTATTAACCACATAGGGACACATTAAGAAAAAGAGTACAGCCTTGTTGTAAAGCAATCCCTTATAACATGACCCTGTTTGTAGTGCTACTAGCATTTTAGTCATGCTTTTTTCTAGGTAAGGTATATGAGAAAAACTGATTAAAATCACTTTCCATCCTCTGGGCTTGTTAAAACATTGAAGAGCTTGCCAGGACATAAAAACAGTACATGAGTCCACCTTAGAAACAGTGTCAATATTTGTGGGATGTAATTAAAATACTGTCTGGGTTAATTAAGGAACTTAAAACTAGGTGAAATACACAGTCTTTTACATTTAGTGAAACAGTGGACAAGAGAAGAAATCTAGAAAAAAAAGTTACTCACTTTTCTACTTCTAAACAAAATCATACAGACTGCATTAAGCACTGCTCTGCTCTTTACATATGTAAATAAGCCCCAGGCAGATTTGGATGACTCGCTGTCTCTGATACTTGGGTCACAAAACAAGAGTTCTTGCAGGCAGAGTGGCTATGTTTTCTTTTTAATGAGTTTATTAATGTCCAGGATGTATCTCCCTTAGTCATAAAAAAGAATATTCATCTATTTTGGTTTTAAAAAAGGGATTTTGTATCTCAGAGCTTGATTCTCTAAAATCCGCATAACAATACAGTAGATTTGGAGCCTTGTAGTAGTGCTTTTCAAAGACGAAATGTTCTCACTGCAGAGCTCAATTTGTGCATCTCACCTATTGCACACACACAAAATAAACCATTGATGTGCACTTCCAGTACCCAGCCTTTTATGTATTTTAAAATGCTGTTTTTACCTTAGTTTGTTCTTGACTGCACATTGAAGTGTAATAATGAACAGCAAACGTAGATAATGAAGCGCCAGCCTATCATTTATAAGGGAATTGGAAATTATATGCACTTCCTATGCTTTGTAATTGTATGTGCTTAAAAGAAAATGTTTTTTAATATTAACTAAAAACTTTTTTCACATCTTCTTTTTATGTATTGGTGAAATTTTTCACTTATCTATTCTACTTAAGTTTTGCAATACATTTTCTTATAATCCTACAGTTTCAAACCAAAACAGTAGATTACAGATTTACTTTACAAAAGTATTAATAAAAAATACTAAAGAAAGAGCTGTTTTTACTCCATTTGGCCTTTTTGTATGACATTTTATGTTGTTCATAATATAATGAACAAATATGAATGATTCAACTTGCAATCATTATTTTCTCCAAATAATTTGGTTCAAAAACACATTTTAGCAAAGCTGCTTGCTGCTGTCTGTCTGGCAAGAAGGAAAAAAATAACCAAAATGAAACTATCACCCAGTAGGGCAGGAACAAACTTGATAAGTTGCAAAAAGATCTTGCAGATGAAGATCGTCCTGCTGTAGGAATCTGTCTCCGGTATTGTCAAAAGCTGCGCAGCTGTAACTATTACATTGATTTTGAACTGTAACCATATTTTAAGGCAAGGGCCTCCCATTCTTATCACAGAGAGCCCCAGCCCAGCAGGTTTTGTAGATAGCCTTAATGTTATCAATTTCTAAAAGCCGGGAACAATTTAACTGTGATCAATTAAACAAGTGGTGTTTTCCATTAAGTAATCTAAAGATCCTATGGAACAAAACTCAGAATAGCTTCTGGCCTTCAAAGACCAGTGTTCCCTTTACTTGCTTAATTGATCAATTGCATAAACAAGTGTTCCTTATCTTTAAATAACAGATTATTTAGGGTGACCTACAGTATATTAACTAGACTGCAGTTCTCCAGGACCTGGGTAGGAAAGCCCTGTTCTAAGGAGAAAAATAAAGAGACAATACAGTAGATAAATAATTTATGATTTACTAGAATTACATTACATGCTAGTTTATTAATATTAAAAGTCTTTTAGGTTTCTGGTTTTGATTGACTTCTTATTGTATCCAAACTTTATTTTTGTCATTAAATGTCAGCAGAATGATTCTCCCGGGCTTAGATCCATCTCAGATTACATTTTAATTAAATATGACTGTGCATCTATACTTGATCATCATAGCAGCTGCTGTGATTTTTATCTTCAAAAACTAAAAGAAGTTTCTAAATACACTTTGATTACATAACCCTTGGTAAAAATAACAGCTGGACAAAGCTATTATGGTATAAACAAAAGATAGCTTTGTTCAGCAAACTTATAATTTATACATTGGTGTCTGGACAAAAAAGGCTGCAGTATATCAAAATATTGTGTTAAAAGTGATTTTCTGAATTGATTCTCATTCAGTGGGGCACCCAGAATAAATGTTTAAAATCCCTTTAAGAACTGAAAAGTGCAGTAATACACAATTAAAGGCTTCATTTTTTAAACATGACAACTGCAAATAGTGGCATCGCAATAACCACTGTGTTTTCTTCATAGTAAACTTGGTTTTAATCATTTTAACCCTGTTTCTTTGTTCATTATCATGGTAGACTGTTTTTACACCATCTTTGCCTGTGTAGAAATTCCCTTTTTGTTCCCACATTTTTGCCCCAAAAAGACCTCAACAGCATATATTTTGTGCCACATGACCTAAAGTATTAACTGTATAATGGTTCTAGATGATGTGTTAGAATTGTTCATTAGTAAAATTCAAAATAAATTATTCGTAATAAATTGTATTATAATTAAAATTTTAATTTCAATTATAGAATAAAACTGATGCAAAAAAGATATATTTGTATTAGATTTCTTCAAATTCTGTCCATTAACAACTTGTGTTCTTTTATTTTCATATGAAGGCACTGTGGGTACAGTAAAGCTGACCAAGAAGGAGATGAAGAGCTTTATTTTCAATGTAAGTAGTACCTACTGCATCTGCACAGGAAAAGAATAACATTTATATTTTTGTTTTAAGGTACACTTTTTGTGTGCTAGTAGCTTATTGTTAAAACAGCTGTTTGAGATTAAGTAAAGTAAATTAGGTGAGATTCATTGAGTAAATTAGGAACAAACCGTAATACAATGTATAAGTGGCGGCAATTCTATTTAAGATTTACAATATCTAAATACATAAATCTCGAAGAGTTGAAACCTTTGGTCAAGTATTAGCATCCTGTGAATACCTGTATACTGTATAGCATATTTGATCATTTTTGTTTTCATTTTGCTGTGCAGCGTTACGATTTACAGTATAATGTACAGTTCATCTATTTCAAGGTTTTCTCCTTTGGCTACTTTTCCAGTAAGTGTTCCACACCATCCTAATGATCCCCCCCGAGATGCAGCTGCAGATAGTTTCTTAGCCAACTTGTGATGATCTTTGCTGTAGGCAAACTGCTGATTAGGAAACAAAGGGTCAGCGTGTCACATGGCTGTGCGGCAGAAAGCTGGCTGGCAAAGCAGGCTGAGTGCACAGTCGGCCCAGTGCTACTAAATATCTGAGAAAGTCTGGGAACACACTCTCCTTCCTGTTGGTTTTCAATTGAAATTGCTGTTCAAGCTAATAAAGGTATCCGTTTCTTGGTATTATGTTAAGAAATACTGCCAGGAAGACGGATGACAGAGATCACAAAAATTCAAGTCATAGGCCCAATTTGTCTTGTTCGCGGCTTGGGAGACTGTGACAAGATGTCTCTGATAAGATCCCACTACAGCCTGAATGGACAAAGCAATTATAAAAGGGGGTTGGTATAATGTAAGCTGGCATCATTACATAGCTCAGTGTTGCTTTATATTATTGAATAAAACTGATTCGGCTGTGAAAAACAGGGTTATCTCTTGTTTTTCCAGCAGTTCCTGTAGAGCTGATTATCCTCTTAATGATGATTTTTTTAATGTATCAGTTATAGACCTTGTGTCCCATTACACAGCTTGGAGTATTGAAGTTGACAGGTAATGTTGTAATTAGGGAAATGCAATGTATGAAAAATTAGGTCAGAGCAGAACATTAAATTGCCCTGATATAATGTGATACTTTACCCTCTAAGTCTGGTGCTCTAATTATACTTAGATCTCTCTACAAACTCTTTTCTTCTTCCTGACAGGAAATAATAATAAAAAATCTATAAGGCTAGCAGCCGAGAAGCTGTTTGTTTATTGAAAAACAAAGACTTTTTTTTTACTTTCTTTAACAATGCCAGTGCAATATGATTTGCTGCCCAAATAAAAGTTACCGTTCACATAAATGTAGAAGTATTTTTTTCATTGTTGATTTTTGGGGTTTAAAAAAAGTTTAAAAAAAAATCTTTCAAAAAAACCCTTGAGTCTCAATACCTCATCCTCTTTTACGGGTCTACCATTGAATAAGAATAATTTGTGGTTAAACAGGTTTAACATTTAGTGTCAATAAAAATATACATTTAACTAATTTGCAAACAACAGAAAGATTAAATAAGACTTGTTATATGGTAAATTATATTCTTTATCCTTATTAATATGTTCTATACTGAGAGCCTTTCAGTATTTGCCAGCGATGTACAAAACCATCATGCATGTACACATATTTTAAAGAACTGGGCCATGCAGTGCTACCTAAATAAACTACAGGATGTCTCTCTGTTAACATATATATATATATTATACTTATAGTCTCTTTTGTGACAAGGTAACATGAAATTATAAAAAAGCCTTACTGTCAAGTAGAGAAGGAAATAATACTTTAAATGTTCTCATTCAATCCTTATGACATGACTCTTTTTCATCTGCTTATATTTGTGTAATTCATTCTGAATTGGAGCCCTTTGTAATTGTGTTCCTGTCAAGCACTCATTGTGCAGTATGCATACTTAATCGTAACAGTAATCCTCTTACGCTTTTACAGTTAAATTTCCAGGCACCAAGACATACATTGACCCTGAAACCTATGAGGACCCGAATAGGGCTGTCCATCAATTTGCCAAGGAGCTGGATGCCTCTTGCATTAAGATTGAACGAGTAATTGGAGCAGGTGAGGCTGCTTTTCTGGTGTGCTCCATTTAGCCACCATATAAACCCATATATCACAATGACAGCTAAATATTTATACCTTGAATAGGAATGTTATTTTCTACTCTTCGTTTATATTGCAATTTTAGAGGGGGGAAATTGCAATTAAGAATTTATTTCCATCTTGTGGTAGTAAAAAAAAGACACTGACTGCAAACAAATTACTTTCACACGAGATTTAGAAATATTGTCAATACTACTAACTGTATGCCCACGATGTTGCTTATTATCGGGTTCTGGCATCCCCAGTGACTTGTCGAATAATCCCAAAGTGTTTCAGTAGCAGCGCTGTTAGCTGTGAGGGCAGTACAGTAATACTTTTACCGATTCTACAAAGACAAAGTACTGGGTTTTGTATTGATGACATGTTGGCTTTTTTTTCTAGGGGAATTTGGAGAAGTATGTAGTGGGCGGCTGAAGCTCCCGGGAAAGAGAGACATGTCAGTTGCTATTAAAACTTTGAAAGTTGGCTACACAGAAAAGCAGAGACGAGACTTTCTTTGTGAAGCCAGCATAATGGGGCAGTTTGACCATCCTAATGTTGTTCATCTGGAAGGAGTGGTTACACGAGGTAAGGAGTACCACTCATGCCAGAAATACAATGAACCCATGATTAATTAAAAAAAGCCTTCACAGTTAGCTGGGAGGTCACATTCTCAAGGAAGCCTTTTTTGCTTGCTCACAATCACAACAGAGAGCACATGCTTCCCATTGAAAATTATAGGGGAAACGAAGAAATCAAAATTCACCAGGGGTCAAGAGGCAAAAAAGAACAAAGGCTGACTTTATGCTTTACCGCATATTAAGGGATGGCAGAAAAGTAAACAGAAATCTAAAACTCAGTGAGTTTCTTGTTTTATTTTTATCAAAAAAAGCTGTGGGGTCCATTTAGAAAACAGCAAATTGAGATGTTCTAATGAGAGTGTTTCTAAAAGGGCATTTGCAAAATCCGTGGGTAGCTAGGTTGCCTCAGCATAAGTTCTAGTCTGCTCACCTTGTTTGTTACAAAAATAAAGTATTTATAAAAGAAAGAACATAGTTTTCTATACAATTTCATTTGAGGTTTGTGCCTTCTGTATGAATGTTTCACTCTTTCCTGATTAGTGACCATTAAAACATCTTTGTCGGTTTCTTTATGTTTTAAATTGCACCATTTCTGTGTTTTCACGAAGTTGGGAAGTTGCAGGAATTTTGCTGCTCCTTCCTTTCCTATAATTGGACCTGAAATGGGTTTTGGATATGTAATGCATTAATATATAAAGACATCCACATGTTGAAAACAAAGGCAGTAAAGAGTGGAGAAATCACAACAATGATCAGGATGGGAAACAGTTGCAACATGTGCAGTGTTAGAACAGCTGGCACTGTAGTTTATATTTTTTAGCAAACATTATGTTTGATCATAGTGTTTCTACAGTTTGGCTATAACCCTGTCCAACAGTGGATTACAATCCAAGTTTTTTTGTGCTCCTATCTCCTTTTCAACATTGTCAAATGTTCATGTTTGTTAAAGTAAAAACTATTTTTTTCAGGAAAACCAGTCATGATTGTAATAGAATACATGGAAAATGGAGCATTAGATGCTTTTCTTAGGGTAAGTTCCATTTGCTGTTTTTTGTTTCAGACTTTATTAACAGTAAAAAATAAAATAAAAGTGTCATATTGCACCCTAATTATCTGTGTGTATTTCAGTACATGTTAAATTAAACTCATATTTTGGATGGGATTAGAAAATGCTGAAAATTGGTTCAGCATTTTCTGAAAAATAATGTTGTGGAAAAATGTCTTAAAGATTGTAAACTAGAAAAACAATGATTTGATAATGTATTTTTGAAAGTAACTATAGGTCATTTGTTGTGAGTTTGTGTTTGTGTGTTAAAATGAAATACATACAGTAAACCCTACATTAGGACAGGGCTTGCTAAGACTAAAGCATCTTTTGGAATGTTTGGAAAATTGCTGCTTTTGCCAGATAACCTGACATCTTTACTTCCTAAATGCAGAAACATGATGGTCAGTTCACCGTGATTCAGCTGGTGGGGATGCTGCGCGGAATAGCAGCGGGCATGAGATACCTGTCTGATATGGGATATGTTCACAGGGATTTAGCAGCACGTAACATCCTTGTCAACAGCAATCTTGTATGTAAAGTGTCTGACTTTGGGTTGTCAAGAGTGATAGATGATGACCCCGAAGCTGTCTACACAACAACAGTAAGTAAAGAAACCCAATTTTGTGTCTTTCTCAAGTTTTAACATAGATCCTCTAAAAGAATAGTAAGCAAAACTAAAGCAAAGACTCAGCAAGTGCACGAATGTTACATATGCAAGAAGTGGTCTTTAATTTTTTATAAACATCATTTTTCAAGGCAGCAAACAGATTTAACCCTGTTGAATTTCTTTTTCACTTGCAACGTAGCATCTACCAAATTTGAGCTGTACTCTGACAAATAGTGTGTGTTTGTCTCACCAGGGTGGGAAAATACCCGTGCGGTGGACAGCTCCAGAGGCCATACAGTACCGCAAATTCACATCCTCCAGTGACGTCTGGAGCTATGGAATTGTGATGTGGGAAGTCATGTCCTATGGGGAACGACCTTACTGGGATATGTCCAATCAAGATGTAAGATTTTTTTTTAAACTCTGGTACTTCCCAATTCTCAGTCTGGTACATTGCTATTTTACATCATTTTCAAATGTACGACAGATGTTATGCATGATAGATCCTTACTATTGTTGGCATGTGTCCTTCTGCTTGGAAATGTTTAGGTAAAATAAACTCTGTGGAAAGGTTGCCCTGAAAAGCAAAATACATGACAGTCTAGATGTTTGGCTTAGATGTTTTTTTTCCTTTTTTTTTTTCTAATTAGTAAAATTAAAATACAAGGCAGTGTTTCTAAGGAACTGTCTGAAGATAATGTGGAAATAAGCTATGGATTGATTTCAGGTTTACAAAAGCACATTTAAACATAGCTGGTATTAAATCTTCATAAAACAGACATGATGTGAAATATGTTTGTTATGAACACAGCTCTGTAATTTCGGAGAAATTTACTTAATCATATAATAACTAAAGTCTTTGTTTTGTTTTGGTTAATTTAGGATAGATGAAAATTATGATGCTGTTCATTATGCCGATAACAAAAGTGACTTTATTAGAGTATGGGCAAATTAAAATTCCATGGGAGTAATGATGGAGAACATGACATAAAGTATTTTAATCCAACAGTGTTTCCAAGGACTTGTGTGATGGATGCCCAGTGTTAGATGGAGCCTATGCTCAAATTCTAATTACGTAAGACTGCAGATATTCATAACAGATAAACACCCCTAAATTGCTAGGACTAAACATAATTTAAAATTCATCTCATGGCTAGACCTTTAAGCCCCGCTGATTGAATGATAGACATCAAAGATTAAAAAAGACAAAAGCACATGACAGTCAGTTAAGTGACGTGCAAAAGTGTTAATATTTGACAGGCTTCAATGTCAAAGATTTTATATGCTGTCAGGATGTGGGAAAACAAATCCTTTGGGGTGCAGAAAAAGAAATATTTACATTTTCTAGACAGTTTCAGTGTTTTGACACTTTTCTTCCATAGCTGATTCACGTTTAAATTGGCCTGACAAGAATATAAGATGACTCTGTGGAGAAAAAAAGCATACCTATGTTAAAAGAAGGAAAGGAGTTCTCAGCAGAGACCGTGTTTCCAGAAGTTTGAAGCTGTGAATTGCTTTCAAATAGGCAGTACAGAACTCCTGTCTCGGTCAAACAGTGTTTTCTCATGCTTGGTTACCATTTAGTTAAGTAAATCAGACTTTAAGGCCAAAGAGTTAAACTTTATCAACTGATAAAATCTGAACTCTGATTTTGTTTTGTTTGATAAATACGTTTGATAATGTATTAGACATATACACCAGTAGGAATATTTTTTGGTATGTACATGATTTTAACTGCTGATAAGGTATAAAAGAAAAAAAATCTATAATGTTTCTTTTTTTAAAATAACAGACAAGTATGCCTGTTGGCAAAATTAATTTATTTCTCCATAGAAGCATTTTTTCACTTCACATTCTGCCTCATTTGGACATTTGTACACAGTGACCTTGTGCTTAAAATAGTTTTAACAAGCTGACAACCAGCAGTTACTTCTGGTTAGCCTACTTTTCCTCCTAAAGCCTATTATGGCTAGCCACAAACAATTATCCAATGAATCTGTTGTTACAATATAAAGGATTACAGGATCAAAAGAAACACAGACAATATTTTTTTTTAAAAAAAGCTCATCTTTAAGTAAAAGTCTGCAAGCTTGACAGCATTCTTTCTGCTGCATTTTCTCTCTGTAGGTAATCAAAGCTATTGAGGAAGGTTACCGTCTGCCAGCACCTATGGATTGTCCCCCAGGCCTGCATCAGCTCATGCTTGACTGCTGGCAGAAAGATCGGGGTGAAAGGCCGAAATTTGATCAAATAGTCGGCATTCTTGATAAAATGATTCGCAATCCTAATACCTTGAAGACTCCCCTAGGTCCTTGCAGTAGGTAAGGAAAACTCGTATGTAGAATTTCTTTTGAGTTTTTTTGATGTCCATGAATAATAATTTGACAGTCTCAAGAACAACAGGAAAAGTTTGAAATTGATTCCCTAAGACCAAATGATTGTTAACAGTCTGAATAGGTGCCCGGGTTGTGTCAGTGCATATATTTTATGATTTTTTTTAATTAGGATCAGATATTCAGCCTACGGTGATTTTGGCTTTGGATTAAAAAACTGTCAATGAAAGACAGAAAATTTTCTAAAAATAAAAAAGTTTAGAACTGGTGAGGAAAGTCTTAATGTTCACCACTGTTACTTTATTTTTTATCATTTGAAATGTAATAAAGACTCAAACTAAGCTTCTAATTTTGTCTTCTGTGACAATGAACTGCCTGGTTTAGATTTATGAATGAAAAAGGACTCAGCTAGCTCAGTGTGTGTCTTATTTATGTAAACCATATTTTACATTTCACACTGAACTGTTTCTGCTAGGTGACCTTTTATCTGATATCACATCTTTATTCGAATGGTCCTTGAACCAACCAGGCTGTTTTTTCCATAATATTTGTGCAGTTTTGTGCAGACCTACCCATTAAAATAAAAAAAATTGGGAGGACTGCTGAGTTTTGATTAAATAGAGGCAAGTACTGTATATAATAAAGCTACCTAATTCTTTTTAACTCTTATAATAATAATAAACTATAACATTATTTAATAACCTGAAAAGCTTTTAATACTGTTGCATAACTTTATGATTAGATCTCCCTTTGAGTCAACCTACATTTTCCCCAGCTGAATGTCAATAAAACATGAATCCCACAAAATCAATAAATAGAATTCTATTTATTGACTTTGTGATCCCTATGGCTTTCTCAATCAGCTGTTTTAATGAGTTCCCGTTACTTTAAGAATCTGTTGAAAGAAGCGACCTCATAATGAGAGTTGTCCTAAAAAGTAATATATTTACTGTCAGAATCTTACAGTACATCTCTGTTTTATTAAAATATACAACCCAAAAATACCAGTAAGAGGAAAGAACAAAAGGATTTTTTAACTGATGTTGTGTTTCATGCAGCTGGACACTGGTCTTTTTCTTATTTAGTTTAAAAGCTTACTGCAGATGTATTAACCGTACATGAAATAAAAAATAATAGTTGCTTCAACCTTTTTTTCAAATTCCTACTAGTTTGAAGTTACATGGATTAATGTAGCAGATGCTTGAGTCATAACAGTAATCAGTTATAACCTTGGATTTCAGCGGTAGCTGTGATATAACCAAAGCTTTTAATCTTGAATTTTGTTTATTAGGAGTTTTATATAATACATGACATTTACATTTTTCTCTGTTTATCCTGCAGACCAATTAGCCCACTTTTAGATCAGAACACTCCAGATTTCACTACTTTTCGCTCAGTGGGAGATTGGTTGGAAGCCATCAAGATGGAAAGATACAAAGATAACTTCACAGCAGCAGGGTACAGCTCTTTGGAATCAGTGGCCAGAATGACCATTGAGTAAGTATTTTATTTGTTAACAGATAAACAGATTTGAAACATAGAATGCAGCAATCAGTGGGTGACTTCCTGGCCATTTTCTGGGAGTTTAGTAAAGCAATAATTCCCCAGACTAATTTTAATACTAAATGATTTGCTATGTAAAGCAGTCATAAAAAATTGCATCATTATTTTTCTTGTTTTGTAGGAGGTACAGAGAAATACACTTTTTATTTTTAAATTGAACTTCTGTTACCACTCTAATAGTTCTTCCTCCTCAGGAAAAGAAATATAATGTGCTCTAGAAAACTGAGACTTTTGAGCAGCTTTGATATAGCCATTGTTTTTACGGTTTCAGCCATGGCGTCTTAGAGTCAGGAAACGGTAGTCTTGCGCCTTTGATTTGCATTCTAAGCCAGCATTGTCAAATGTATCAAAGTTTGTTCATTTTGGAATAGGTCCAGCTGTAGATTCTCCAGTTGTATTTCTTTTTTCAGAAACTTAATTATTATACAGTATGTTTATTGTGCTGCATCAATGTAATTTCCCCCAAACCGTTTAGTCTTCAGACTAATGTATTTTTCACAATAACAATAGTATTTTCACTGAAATTATGCTGGCTCTGAAATGCTCAGTGTGTTGTTTTAGCATTACTTTTGCAAAAGCACGTTTTACTAACAAAAGAGAGTTTGGAGTAAATTTGACAGATAAGGTTCAGTTTTCGAGGCATGCAGTAATTAAGTATATGATTTCAACAGTCTGTTGCTGCTATTTGTGACTTTTAATATTGTCATTCCCAGGGACATGATGAGTTTAGGAATCACCTTGGTGGGCCATCAGAAGAAAATAATGAGCAGCATACAGACTATGAGGGCACAAATGCTGCATCTACATGGCACTGGTGTTCAGGTGTGATGAACAACATTTCCTCCCTGCTGGGAGGGCACAGACTTCTAAAGGACAACGTGGACATTAGTGAAGATAATCATTGACAAAGTGTTGTTTCCCATATTTGACACTAGGGATTAACACATTCCTTGTCCCTTGATGCCACCTTCAAAAGAATGAAGAAATTAAACCAGGGCCTATTATACGTAAATAAGAAGGTGAAGAAAAATACTACCTGGATACATGGAATTTTTGAAGCTCTGTGGAACTCTTTAGCAGGATATCAAAAAGAGACGGGGCAATTTTCGTTCCTATTTAGTTCCTTAAAATTTGTAATGTATGTTTTATTACCAGTCTAGATATGAGTTTCTTGAAAACAGTGTCCATCTGTGGAAAAGACAGAACGGTTGCTTTGCAGTGAAGATTTTAAAGTTGTTGTTTTTTTTTACATTTTTCTTTATTAATTTATCTTAGCCACTCTGATGTGATGTGGTGTGAAAATGACTTTTTTTAACGTGGACTTGGCAACAGGGTAAAATTTCCCATCCATGATGGAAAGGCAATCATTAGAATTTAGATGTGTTTTTCTGGCACTTTAGGAAACCTATTGTTAGGCATAAGTAGCTACAGTTATGAATGTGTGATGAAGTGTAGTTCTGATATTTTTATGCATTTAACCCTTTGCAGACTACCATATGTGCATGAATCCTTTTATGTGTTCCAAAAATGCATTTCTTTGCAAATGTCTTTCAAAGTGGCCTTTACTAATTCTGCTACGTAAGACTGCAAAAATGGTAGTAATAGTCAAAACTCTCAGGAACTATGATGACAATAAGCATTTAAAAAATGCTACAAATTTATTGGGCTTTTCAGAATGTTGTATGACACATCTACCCTTTGACCAATGTGTTACAATAATGAAAATAAGTATTATTGTAGTTTCCTGAGAAGCAGAATGTGTACAGTTATGTAAATTCTATTGATTTCTGTTTGCCTTGAAATATTGTTATTTTCACCATACCTTCATATTTATGTATGGCCAACCCTGAGCACCAGCAAACACTGCAAACAATTGAAGGATATAATTTACAAAGTAAACTAGTTAAGTATATCAGAAAAAAAAACAAATAAATGCACCTAATAAAACTAAAGTAACCAAGAACCATTTATAGTTATAAAACATATGACCTTGTATAGACAGCACATAAATTAAACACATAAAATTGTATTTCTTTCCAATAATTTCTCTACTTCTTGTACCCCATTATTGTATTTCCTGATACTTTATTGTTGAGCACATGTATTTTTTTCTCTTAATTACTTGCACTTTGAATTAGTTGTGATGGATTAATTCCAGACAGAAACCAAGCAAAAACAATAACCGGAAACTAGCACAAAATTTTATTTTGAATACAGATGAAGTGTGTTTGTATAATTCAGACACCCTTGTAATATTCTTTCTGCAAAGGGTTAAATTTAACATTTTTTGGTAAGGATATGAGAGTACTTTCCCCACTTAATGTGGAATCTCAAGCCAGAAACACATTTTTATCAAATTTGAATGTTTACTGCTTGAAGTAAATTCATTTAACAAGGCTATTTGTAAACTCTGATGTTTATATTCTGTGCATTTTGTATTTAATGACGATGCTCTATGGATAGCACTAGAAGAGGATCATGATAATACAAAGTCTTACTTCCAGGGACAATTATACTGTATTGGGATTCCCTGGTTATGGTTACTTCCTTCCTTTAAAAATCCATATTTTAATTTGGAAAATACAGTGTAAATGATGCCTGTATGCGATAGGTTAACACGACCAAACAGAGCAATAATAACTCCTGATGGTACATGGCATCTTCTGAAATGTCAAGGTGCTAGGTTTTTCTAGATATTTCGTGTTGTGACAATACTTTGGAAAATTTCAGTCACTGGGGTGATAAAGAATATACATTGAGATTTTGTAGCAACCAATTGCCTCAAAAGTACTTTTGATTGTTTATTTGTATTTCATTCATTGTTACAGTTATTTACCAGTCTGTGACATCGATTTAAGTACAGTATGTTTCTTTTTTCCTCATGTCTATTCAACAGGGCACTATGATATAAAAAAGGTTCTGTTATGTATGTGCTATTAGCTACTATCCACTGGTGCCATTTGATTCCATTTTATACAACAAATGATTGTCATGTTTTAATTTGTCTTCAGCATTGTAGACAAATTATTTACAGTTAATAAATTGGGTCTAAAGGAAGAATTGGTATGCCCTATAGTAGTAGCCTAAGGGGTTGTTCGTTAATTTTCATTTTTTCAAGAAAATACTCATATGAATAAACAGTAAATTACAATAATGTAAATTTAAGTAAAAGGAAGGGAATTGTCACTGTTACTTCATTAAGTAATAAACCTAAGAACTATTAGTAACAACATGAGTGTTTTATACCTGAAGAGGCTTTTAAAGATCCATCCCTGAATTGAAACAACTCATATCCCTCGTCATAGCTGCTTTAGACCTGATTTTGTTTCTTCTACAGAGTTTACACCGCTTTTTGTAAGTGGAGAAAGAAATACTAGTGTTTCAGAAGTAGATATAAACAACTTTGAGTGCATGCAGACATATACAGTAAGTACTAAACTACAACTTATCCTTGCTTCTTTTGACTTTGTAAAGTTTTTGGAATCTTGGCAGTAAAAAAACAAACCTAAACCTAAGTTTGTTTTATGACTTGCTTTTCTGGTCCAGAGTTTGTGACAACCTACCTGTTGCAACATTGTACATCATTCCAAAACATTATAAAGAGCTCCTGGGCCAAGCTCCTGGGAAGGGAATAGTGTTTTTTTTTGTGCTACTAATGCAAAATGTATACTGCTATGTTTTGTTTCTACAGAGTAACATCAGTAGTTTTTTTGTTAAAGTTTGATTTTCATTCCAATTTTAGCGCAATAAATCTGCATTTTACCTACTCCTTTACAACTTCTTCACATCTCAGTCTCAGTTCTGCTCTTAAAGAGCCAGTCTCCATAGGAATATATCTATTTTCTTGACAGCAGCTGTGCCACGGACTGGTGTCATTCCAAGCATGACTTACTATACATCTGGCAGCATACTGTAGGTCTTCACGCAACCTTCCTGTAACCAAGGCACACTAACATTACGTGTAGATGAAAAGTATTTGTTTCAAGGACATTTAGAGGAGAGGGTAGTGTTGAAAATTGTGGACTTCCCCTTAGAAGAGTGGCTGGTAATTCCAAAGAGTTTAGCATTGCTGATTGTGTCAGAAAGATCCTAGGGATCAGAGGAAAATTTGTATATGTTCTAATGTAAAATTTGTAAATTTTATTTATACTGTCATTTTTTACACACATTACTCTGTAGTGAGCTCTGAATACATTGAAAATGCACTATATTTTTCTATCTCAGATTGTCTTCACCCATATATTTTCAGTTGTACATAGTTTCCCATTTAGGACCAAAGATGGCTGTAGGTTGTTTTGTGTTTATTTTGCTTTTCACTTTTTGCGTTTTTGTTTCTTTCTTCTTTCAGTGTGATGTACAGTGAATTGATTTCTCAATTTATTATTTATTTCTGTTTGAAAAGAGAATTAAAATTATCCACTGGTCAAAAGTATTTTTCAAACAACCACAACAACAGAAAGTAATGCTGTAAATCATTTATCTAGGTAATTTCTTGTTACATAGACATTTTTGCTTTGTAACCTTTGTAATAGACTGTAAATATATTTTTGGAAATATAATACAATCTCTAAAGAAAACTTGCTCTTTTCATTTGAGTCTCTGGCAAAATTGTCTGCATAAATGATATGCATTTTGTGAAGAGTTTTTGTATTATTCACTGGCTTCTTATATGACACTTGCAAATGTTAATGAGTGTATACTATAGGATTTAGGATCACTGTGGTTTAATCCTGATAATTCCAGGCCAATTTAGTCACCATTCTGTAACTCACTTGCATTTTTGACATTTTACAAATTGTTTCCAGGTTATTGTAGAAAATAATCTTTAGAGTACATCGCAAATGGATGTTTTGATTGATGTACTTTGTACATAGAAGATCAAACATAAATAACAGGGAAAAACGTTTTGTGCAGAGCATCAGAAAAATTTGGAAAAAAAGACATTCTGGGCAATTGTGAAGATTACATCTTTCCAGGTGCCTTTCCTAATAATTCTGTATTATGTTGCAAATGTTTAAAAGGAATGAACCTTGAATGTTTTTCATGCCACAGAATGTTTGAAATTGTCACACAATAGGTTAAGACAAAAGTCTAGGTTTTGGAGTAGCCCAGAAAAGAGAAAATTAATTAACAGTCTGGGAGACTCGAGCAAGATTCTCAGCTTAGTGCATTTAGTGATTTATTGGTAGGTACGCATAAATATTTGTGGTTACTTTTTGGCTCAGACCCACCTCGCTTCAAAAGTCCTTGGCTGAAGAACAGCAGCCTGGCACTAAGCCTTACATGAAACTAAGCGCGTGGAAGCTAGAAAGGTGATGAGGTGGGAGACAGTATTATTCCCCACATAAAAGACTTATTACCTTTCTTTATTCCTGGACAGGTATGTGGCATGAATTTGTTTATTCTTTTTTCATCCAGGTGTTTCAAAAAGTTCATTTTTATAAGGCAGTTTCACTCTGCCTTCGTTATTTCTAATGTGTACTCGAAATGTGGCATGGTAAAAAAGAGACTAGTTCTTTCAAGTTTCTTAAAATCTGGCACTGGGCAGAGAAGGGTGACACTGGCAGCATGCCCGATTCGGGTTTTTAGTTTTTTTTGGGTTTCGGGTTTCCCCTTTTAAGGTTTTCGTTTTTTTTCATTGCGGCTTTGTTTGCTTGGCGGCCGGAACCGTTATTCGGTTCCGGGACCTTATTTTTTTTTAAATAAAAAATAATTTTGAAGAAGCATCCTAATGCTCTTTTTTACAAGACAAAGGTTAGGAAGGGGTTAGGAATTGTATGCATGCACTGAATACTAAAGGTAAGAGGCACATTTTCAAATCTATGATAGCCAGGAATGACAAATTAGCCAAAACAGTGGATCAAAGACCGTAAGAGGAAGTACCATTAATCCTACAATCAAATCTGCATGAGCAGGTGAAACACCATGATTGACAAGATCAGCACAAGATTAAATTGCGTGAAACTGCAATTTTGCTGCAACCACCTGTTGAAGTCTTTTTGCAAAAAGGGCAAAATGAAAATAAAATGGCAGCTGTTAAGCCTTTCTGTCACGACCACATTTTCTTAATGCAGTTGTCTTCAGGTACAAGAACACATCTCAAGGACTCACTGATAATATGTCACAAAAGAAGAAAGAGCTGAGAAGCTAGGTTTTAGTAAGAGTGCAGAAATGGGATTTAAGACATAGTAAGCAGTACATCTATTTGTAGCAACCAACTGAGTTACATAGGATGCATCAACAGCAGGAGAATGAAAGCTACTCAAATCTGTGAAAGCAGGAGAGAGTGATTGTCAGGACTGCAGGAGGTGAGCTCAGGAGCTGATTTTTAATCTTACGTATTCTGTTGTTAAGAATTGCCTGAATGTGTTACACTATTCAGTGAATGAAGGAAAAGAAGATTTCTGAACTGATTTTACAATGTTATTGATGGTGGAATAAAATACTATTATTACTGTGAACCATATCAGTAAGACTGGAAAAGAATGGGGTCACCGTTCATTGCCTTACTGTTGTACAGTTGAGATTGTTCATAGGCATGTAGTTGAACAGTCGGCCCTGTCTCCCTTCTGTATACCAGATGACGAGCAAGCAAAACAAAGTCAGTTTTACAGTGGCTGGGCTATCAATGACTTATGTAAAGGTGTCATTGTAAGGGGTATCAGAATATGTTATCTGTAGACCTCAATGAGTAACAAAATCCTTCAATCTATCAAACTTGTGAATAAACCAAACTCTGTCTATGGGTGAGGTCATATTCTATATACTGTTCATAAGAGGTAGAGGGACTGTGTGGTTCATTAAGACAGCTTTGTGGTCATAAGTCCAGTTCAAGTGCTGGACAGCTAGAAAAACTAGCATCACAAGCATTGATTCAAAAGCCAATATACATACATGTTTATATGTTGGGAAGCTGATATACAGATTAAAGCTGGAACAATCTAGAGAAGCTAGGAAATCACTGATAGCTGAGCAGTTAGAAGGAAGCTCATGCATATTGAAATTGCCAAGAGAATGAATACTGACAGAGTCTGATGGAGCTGTTTTAGTAGCCCTTGAAGTTTCATTTCATCCAGAAGTTTTCAGTAGAAACCGAATAGTAGATTTAGAGGAGTAGTAAACAATAACCGCTATCAGAGGCTGAGACTATTTCATATTAAAAAAATCTAACATTGTATCCAGACACTATATTAGGAAATTTGGTGAACAATGTTTTAACATTGCCTTTGCATAATTATCTTGTAACTCTAATGATATAGTTGTGATACAGTTGATTCCATGATATACAGTATACTGTATCCTTTTTTTCTTAGTAACAACACATTTAAAAGCAACATATAGAGCATAAAACAATGTAGGACAGCCTAGTACAACACTTCATAATGAAAAATGAACAAAATACCTATTAGTGTATTTTAATCACAGAGCTCCCTGGGCAATATATTAAATTGTCCTCTCCATTCCACATGGTCATACAATGCAGCTAAGAGAAAAACACAGCATTAAATGAAAATTAACTTAATCTATTAATTAATTTACATTCATAAATCTTAAGAATGTAATATGTATTACAGAGGCGTCCCGTCTAGAGTTAAGTGTTCTTCAATGTCATGAAGACTGTTAAAATTCCTAAAGTACTATAAAAAATAAGCACAGTACACATGTGTTGTGTTAATAAGACTTGTAAAAGATTATGGTAAAAAGGTTCTATTTTCTGGAACCATGAATGGATGGACATGGGCAGTGATTAGTGGACATCAATAACTGGTACATTTTCTGTACACCTGCAATGGACAAGAAATATTTTTAAAAAGCAAGTCTATAATTGAAATACACAGTGCTTAAGGGCAGTAAATCAAAATGGAATCACAAATATGTAATCGACTAGGTACTGTGCTATTTATGATGACTATTCCTTAGGTTCCGCCATTGATGAGACAGGTAATGCTAAATAATTGCTGTTTATGCTATTATCTTTGTAATTGCTATGCATGCTATTATCTGTGGAAGTGTGGTGAAGGATAGGATAGAATATTTTTAATATGAAAAGCTACATTTTGGCTTTTAAAAAAATTGAACATTATAATGCACCATATTTACATGCTATAGTACACCATATAGATTTAATGATGCATTTGAAGACAAGATGATGATTTAAAATTTATACGGTTAATTACTTATCTGATCTTATAGTAAAAGATTTTGGTAAAAAAACATGTTTTGGTGGCTATTGTTTTTTTTTTTTGTTCTTTTGTCTTGCATGAAGAATCAGAATATAAAGGAATTACAAAACTGCAAAGTGAAAATGTTGAATTATAAGACTGAGCCTAAGCCCAAGAAGCACGATAAACTTTCATTTGATTGATTCCATAGTAACAGTATATTAGGAAATTCCATTACATCCTGCCTGCTTCAGTAGTTTTTTTCCCAACCCTAAAAATGTGAAAAAGAATTTTGCACACACTCAAACTCATAATAAATACATCTGTGCTATGTGCATTCTTTACGTGAGTTAAATGTACATGTTACAACCAATGCCATACTGTATGTTATTGATTATATCTTTACTGACTTCAAAAACTACAATGGAAGAGGGAAGAATCCCCAAAATATCTGCAAGGGAGACACAAGGAGATAAAAAGCAAATCTAAGGAAGAAACAAAACATCAAAGGACCAGGTAATTAAGTACTTATGCCTGGATGACAGGAGTCAGGAGACAGAAAAAAGTAAAAAATAGAAACCACTGCATTAGCAGATCATTTTGA